TTCCCTTTTCTCTCTCCTTTCTTCGACTGGCCCGGTCACATAAGTGAGAGTGTTTGTTATGATGTTACATCACTTATGAATTATAAGTTACCGCTGATTGAATAGATCGAACTGACGATATAGCATTGAATAATCCAAGAATTAATTCGGTTATTAATAAACTGATCCTATGATTAACACACCATTCGTCACATTCATCATTTCATTAATTTATTATTGGAATCGATTATGTTCAAAACGTTTGAGATTAGTTTCAACTGCTCAAATATTTGCCTTTGTTTCAGTCAATAAATTATCTTCCAAAATATAATCATTTCAATATTTGATATATTACAGTAATCAAATAATCTTAAGTGATACTAGTGACCTTATTAAATTCGAAAGACAAGATGTTTAAAAATCTGTTCAATTTTCTCATTTTATTAAAAAATAAATATTTAAGAGACAACGTCGGATTTCTTTTGCGTTTTGAAAGAGCTGATCTTTTCTTTTTTCTTTTTTGTTTTAAGAAACTGCGATTTGATGACTCGATCAAATTCCTAATCTGTTAAGAAATCGATACGTTGCGTCACGTTTATCATTATTGCCAATTAATTGAGCCACATTGCAAAAGATTTTGTTTTCTTTGTGGCTTCATTGTCTTTGTTATATTCGCGATGTTCTGTATATGACGATATTTATTAAAAAATATATGTAAAAGATTTTTAAACTTACTTTAAATGTATATATATGTATATATTTCTCTTAATCTATTTTCTAAATTTTATTTTTTTCGCATATAAGAGAGAGAGAGAGAGAGAGAGAGAGAGAGAGAGATTTTACTTTTAATATTTTATTATTAATATTACAGCAATGTGATGTTTAAAATATTCCGCTGTATTTGTTCATTAAAAATGTTAATATTTTTAACATTCAGCGAGATACGAGATAATATTTAAAATGTTTATTTTTTGAAAGAGGAAATAATCGAAGTCACAATGATAATTCAAACAGCCACGGATAGTGTCAATAGAATTCAATAAGCTCTGAGAGACTTTGTACTACCTGCTGAGACTTAAGATACGTCACAAAACTCTCATATCGCAACAATAAGCATATAACCAAGGAATACGAACAATTTAGCTTACGAAACCGGTATTAATGTGTTATTACATCAAACGGTAACCGAAAAAATGTAAGCGATGAGTAAGCTACGTGCTACGCAACTCAGCTGCTTTCACGTAATTTGTTCATTTCTTTACACGCGCGAGAGAGATATATGTATTACGAAAGAGCAGACCAACGAAGAGAGACCGCCTAAGGTTACGTCTGATCGCTTTCCTTTCTTTCAATTCTCCGTGTCGTTTCTTCCTGATGAACTTGCTTACGTTGCAATCAATTATCGAACAAGTACGTCAGTACTGCTAAAGATACGTCAGAGAAAAGATTGTCCCAAATTAATTTAAATTCGATAATAATATGATAAAACATACATGACAATTATTAATAAGTAATTAGAACTCGCTTATTTCCGGGAATTATTCTTGGAATTAAATTTTACAAAATTAAAATTTTTTACATTATTAAAAATTTAAATACGCGTATTAAAACCTCTCTCTTCAACTAATTATAATTTTTTAAATTATATTATTTGTAAATTTGACTAAGACTTGTAACACAATTTTAAGCAAATTTTAAATAAATAGTTAACTCAGATGTGCGCAATAGTTTTATCAATGCCTTTAATATGTTATATAAAATGAATAAAATTGATTCGTTATATTTGTTGACGCAATTGTCGAGCGTAATTATGTAGTAGAGTTTTTTTTATTGCCAATTTTTTTTCTTTGACTGATCTATACCAGTACAGAAGGACATGAGTGCCAGGTAATGATGCTGGTGCAATCATCGATGATTGTTATCGCAAGGATAATGTCAATGTCGATTGAAAAAGTCACAATATAATAATCTCAGTTTCAGAATTTAATATTACACTAATATTTTATATATTTATACGGTTTTTTCTTTTACATATTATATA